AAAAAAAAATGATTAGTTTAAACCTATTGTATATAATATATATATATATAGTTCAACATTTCATCATATACATAACATATCGTATATTATATTATCCTTTCTCATTTTTCAGACCTCATATCATATGTAATTCTAATGAGGTTATATTTCATATCATTTATTATGATTTTATGTCATTCATATCATGTTGTATACATACAATTTAGGAAACATAACATAATATTTCATGCTTTTAATGTAACATTTCATCATATACATAACATAACATATCGTATCACAATATATCATATCATAAATATGTCAATTTATCACATATCTCGTATCATAATATTTTTCATATCATATCACAATACATACATACATACATACATACATACATACATCATTCATATGTCCATAATCATATTGCAAACACTTCGTGATCATATCGTTCCCTAACTTATTATAGTCTTAGCGTTCTTCCCTGAGCTACTAGAACCTTCTTTCACTCTTCTCCCTCCACATATTACAGTCATATCATTACATGAACGTACCTTAGTCATATTGTCACATGAACGTATCCTAATACTATCATTCTACCAACCTATCATAATCATACCCCTTTCTACCCATAGTCTAACCATATTATTTTTTCAATCATCGTTTTATCAATCTCTCATATCCATAGCACTTTGATACGTAACCGAAACTTAACGTTTCATGAACATATCTTACTCCTATCATTACTTTACGTTTAGCCTTCTCGTATCCTATCTCAAACATAACATTAAACACATTGTACCATAAGTATTATCATACAATTCACATATTATAACATATACACATCATATCATAAGCATATCGATCCATAAACAATTCACACATATTAATATATATATATATATGACACATGCAGAACCACGAGATACGTGTCAACATCAAATATAATCATGTCGATAGTAAAATCACTTGATTAGTTTAGGCTGATGTTACCAATTTGACATTAATGAAAATTCGATTTTGCCTTTGCATCTAAGTCTACATATGTGAACCCATGACATCAATTTCAAGTTCAATTCTATATTTTATGATTCTCTAGTGTTAAATTTCATGCGAATATTGGATAAGTAAAGTCATGGAATGTATATATATATTTGTTATAAAATTATTTCTATCAAAACCATAAAGTCATGGAATGTATATATATATATTTGTTATAATATTATTTTTATCAAGTCAAATGAGTAAAGTCTATTATATTTATTATAACATTATTTCTATCAAAACCATTTAAAACGGTTTAACACTTCCAAAATTTTGTTTTCGGTTGTCTACTTTATTTAAACGAGAAACAAACCCCATGTACTTAGCAGGCACACGCCTTAACCACTCGGCCAAAATGACACATGTTTTTTTGCAATAGAGGTCTAAGCTATACAAAAATTTGGAAGTCAAACATTTTCTATGCTCTAAAGGAATATTTAATGTAAAAATCAAACGAGAAATAAAGAAAAAAAAATTAAAATCGTTGCTTGAGAAATTCAAACTCTCGCGGGAAACCCCATGTACTTAACAAGCACACGCCTTAACAACTCGCCAAAGAAACACATGTTTTTTGCAATAGAGGTCTAAGCTATACAAAAATTTAAAAGTCAAACGTTCTCATTAACAAATAAAATAAATACAAATGATAAGATATGGAATCAATACAAGGGGAATAAGATTCGGATTACCTTGTTGATCGAATATCTCAAGCAAAGAACACTTTGTTTGAGATTCGAATCACTCCAGAAGCAAGATCGATCATGTCTAGCTTCAATGATTCTTGTTGATCAAATATCTCAAGACAAGGACACTTGATTGAGATTCGAATCACTCCACAAGCAAGATTGATCATGTCGAGCTTGAATGATTCTACATGCAACCTAAACTACATAGAGTTGCAAATAAACTTAACCATTGGCTAAAGAAAAGCACAAATGCTTCTTTTGATATATCTTCTAAGTCTTCCTTACAAATACAACATACATGGCTTTATATAGCCTAAAAAATGAAACTATTAAAGGCATTCCAAAAGTTGTAACATTCACACTTTATGGCCATAATTAGCCATTATGTAAATGTAACCGAAATTAAATAAAAAGTCTTAAAACACAATAACTCTAAATTATAACCCACCCAAAATTTACAACAATCAAACTTTATTCTTCTTCAATGTAGCATGAATTGAAACATCTTTTGATTATTTTGATAACCTTTTCTCCACATCTTCATTGAAGCATATTGTATGATTGATGTCTCTTGGTTCATATCAACAAATCTCTCGGATTCAAATAATTTATGCTCTAAATGAATATTTAATGTAAAAATCAAACGAGAAATAAAGAAAAAATTTTAAACCATTACCGGAGAGATTCATACTCTAGTCGGAAAACCTCATGTACTTAGCAGGTATTGTCCTCTCTAGATTTTCCATTTCATGACTAGGTGTAAGAACCCAAGCCCATCGGTAGTAGATATTGTTTTCTTTAAGCTTTCCATTCTAGGCTTCGTTTCAAGGTTTTAAAATGTGTCTACTAGGGAGAGGTTTCCACACCCTTAAGGAATGCTCAGTTCACCTCTCCAACCCATATGAGATCTCACAGTCCGCCCTCCTTTTGACCCCAGCATCCTCAATGGCACTCGTTTCCCTCTCTAATCGACATGAGATCTCACAATCCACCTCCCCTTTAGGTCTCAGCATCCTCGTTGGCACTCATTCCTCTCTCCAATAGATATGAGATCTCACAATTCACCCCCTTCAGAGTTCAGCGTTCTTGTTGGCATACCGCCCAGTGTCCACCCCCTTTAGGGCTCAGCGTCCTCGCCGGCGCATCGCCCAGTGTCTAGCTCTAATACCATTTGTAACAGTTCAAGCTCACTGCTAGCAGATATGGTTTTTTTTGGACTTTTGTTTTCGGGCTTCCTCTCAAGGTTTTAAAATATGTCTGCTAGGAAGAGATTTTCATACCCTTATAAGAAATGCTTTACCTCCCTCTCCCCCCAAACTTAAATGGGATAATGTTCTTATCGACTTTAAAAATGATAACAATGTAGGGTGGCGCTTAATGTAGTAGCTAATTTAAAAGACTACATTGAAGTACCAATCACGACTTTATGAATTTCTAACTTAGTGGACTTATTAAACCTACTAGATGTAAAAGTAAGTATTATCAAGTCGATTTCTATAACTGGTGGGGGATTCCCGCTCGAAGACGATTCCCTTGGTAATTCTAGTACGTAGGATAGACGATCCACAGTTCTACTTTGCGTCGATCTTCTTTCACATTTTTTTCAAACGTTTGTGCTTTTAATTCCTTCTATCATTTCAATATGTAGAGGTCCTCGGGATTGTTTAAATGACTAAAAAATATAGAAAGTTATTCTTTATATTAACTTATTCGAATAATGCATTACATCATCATTATAGTTATTCATGGCATGGTTTGGTTGTCTTCTTCTATTTCATCTGGAAAAGACGAATAATGCATTACATCATCATTATAGTTATTCATGGCATGGTTTGGTTGTCTTCTTCTATTTCATCTGGAAAAGAAAGAATGCCTCATTTACCCTTGTATAAGAAAATAAGAAATTAAAAAGAAAAACATTTGAAAACGTCGCCTGAGAGATTCGAACTCTCGCGGGGAAACCCCATGTACTTAGCAGGCACACGCCTTAACCACTCGGCCAAAGCGACGATATATGAACCACAACACAGTTTAAATATATATCTATATATATACAAAATAATATTTTTAGGTTTTCCTAATTTGTTCATTAATTTTAGTAAATATTCAAGACACATTCATTTACTTTTGTCTAATATATATCTAATATTTAAATTTTAGTTCAAAGGGGTCATTGAGCAATTAGGCATTTTTAAAATTTTATAAACTTAATAATATAAAACTAAAATGTTGATATTCTTAATATTCAAGTTTTTTTTTATGAATTTTGTAAAATGTTGAATATATTAAGGATCACGACAAAAAATAAATAAATAAAAATTTAAATTCGGAAATTTATTATACAAAATTAAAGTATTATATATATATATATATATATATATATATATTAATCCCAATACATGAAAATCGAAGAATTAAATTTTAATTTTTTTAAGTAGATAAATTTGACCCATCTATTTTAATTTTAGATTTATAACTTTTTATCTTTATATAACCTATTGTTTTTATAGATGTATAACTTCATTTTTTTTTTTTTTTTTTT